CTAAAAGTAATCAGAGATAAAGGACACTTCACTTTTAAAGCATCAACAGTAAGACATCTGATTGCTCCACAAATTATGGAGTCCAGAACACTTATGGAATAATGGAACAATTGTAGAGTTCTATTTCCAGTGGAAATATCCTATAAAAATACAGGAAAATAACATTTTCAGAAAGCCAAAACCAAAAAGAGCAATTCTTGCTAGGAGATATACATTAAAAGAAATAGTGAAAGGAGTTCTTTAGTCAGAAGGCAGATGATCCCAGTTGGAAATAGGAAGGCAATGAATAACCCTGGAAAAAGTAAATAAGGAGGTAAGTGTAACAACACTGACATATAACAGAGTAACATTCATGTCTTGTAGAATATAACATCTACATAGAACATGATACGTGGCAGTAATAATGCAAAAGTGGGGACAGAAATAATGGAGTTTAGGGACATGGGAAAAGTAATAATTTGTATTAAACTGCAATCAGTCAAGATGAATTCTTAAATTTAGAATAATCATGCACACAGATTAAAAGAATGTTTCACAAGTTATGAGACAGAAAAAAAATGGGACTACTATAAAAATTAGTCCAAAAGAAGGGAGGGGAGAGAACATGGCTTGAAAGAAAAACAACAGGAAAATAGCTGGTATAAACCCATTTACATCAGTAATTCTATTACTACAAAAAAAAAAAAAGATTAAAATGGCCAAAGACTGGATGAAAAGTCAGTCAAATAAAATACAACTATATGACAACTTCAGGAACATATACCTTAAAAAGGACACAGATGGCTATGGGTATGGTACAGCACCTGCACTGACTTCAAATATAGTACTGCAACCCCCCCCAAAAAAAAGACACAGAAAGTCTGAAGTTTAAGATTAGAAAAATGTATATACTGCAAAAGAAAGCCCTGGTAATATTAGAAAGAATGGGCTTTAAGGCAAAAGCATTAATTCAGTTAAGAGGTGTTTTTCCTTATGTGACATCACAATTTTATGAGTATGTACATTTATGCAATATGACTTGAAAATATATAAAAAATAAAACTAGCAGCCAATTTACAATCATAAAGGGAAACTTTAACACATCTCCAATTGCTGTGAGAACAAGCAAATAAAAATTGTATATGCAATGAACAAATGATCTAACTGGCACTTAGGAACAATTTGTATAAATGCAGTATTTAAAATAATTTCCATGTGTTGGCTCATAAGGCAAACTTTAACAAATTTCAAGAACTGAAATCATTCAAATTATGTTTTCTGGTGAAGGAGAAATTAAAGTAAAAATCAGTAACAAAAATATAACTAAAATTTTTTAAAGTCCCAATCGCCTGGAAATTAAGTATTCATCCCTATATACAACTCATAAATACATGATATAGTCAAAACAGTAATTAGAAGGTATTTTAACTGAATGATAATAAAGGTAAAATATTTCAAAACTTGTAGGACACAGCTTAAGTGTTTAGGAGAAATATAAGATCTTAAGTGGATACATTACAAAAGAAGAAAGGCTAGAAATGATGTCATAATTTCAAGGAGCCTGAAAAAAAATCTAAACCAATGAAAATTGATCAATAAATCAATGAAATGGAAAAATGTACAAGAGGAATCTTTTAAAAACACTGAATCTTTGAAAGATTAGTAAAGTTGGTAAGACTAAACAAAAAGGGGAAGAAAATTTAGAATGTAAGGAGATATGACTACAAATACTTATTATATTAAAAATGATTTTATCATAACTCTATACCAAACAGATAATTTTTTTGTTATTGCAGTGCTGGGGTTTGAACTCAGGGCTTTGTGCTTGCTGGTCAGGTGCTCTCCCTCTAGAGCCATACCCCAGCTCCCAAATAGATAATTTAGAACAAATGCATGAATTCCTTAAAAAACACAAAACTGAGAGTAATAAAAAGAAAATCTATCTAGTCCTATGTATGTATTAAAGAAACAGTACTTACTAAAATTTTGTAACTCTTTAAACTTTCCCATAACTCTAAGCAAACAACAACACTCTAGACACAAATGGTTTCAGAATATTCCTTAAAATATTTATGGAAGAAATAGCTGAAGTCTTACACAGGGAATGCTTTTCAACTCTTTATGAGACCAGCATAATTTGAGATATCAACCTTGGCAAAAATATTCAAGAAAAGAAATTATGTTCTCTTGTGAATATAGATGCAAAAATTCTCAAGAAAATATTAGCAAGCAGAATCAGTAATTGTAAAGAGGATAGTATATCTCAAAGTGGGTTTTTGTCCAAAAATGCAAGGGTAATTTACATATGAACATTGGTTAATGTAGTTCATACTTCACCAAGGAAAAAAGATGAAAATCACAATAAGAATCTTGATGATAGGACTGGAGGTATGGCTCAAGTGGTAGAGTGCTTGCTTTGCAAGGGCAAAACCCTGAGTTCAAACCCCAATCTCACCAAAAAAACAGTAAAAAAGAATGATGATAATAATAATCTAGGAATAAAAGGGAAATTCCCTAATATGAAGGAAACATAATATTGAAATAAAAACTTTTCCTTGGAAATCAAAAAAGGTTGCTTGTTTTCACTGTTTCTATTCAGCATGATTCTATAGATTAAGAACTCAGAAATAGGAAACAAAATGAAAACTCTCAAATTATGTTTTAAAATTGGATACTTAGGAATTAATTCAATGAAAAATGTGCAAGATTTGTACACAACTACAGAACAATTAAAACAATTATACTGTAAAACAGAATACTAGAGACCTAAGAACAGTGAGTGATATACACTCATGGCATGATTCAACAAGGAATAGTGGGGACCCCAAATTCTTTCCAACATTCTTTTTGAATGGTAGGGGTCTATGTGCTTTTGCTCTGAATTTGAGTGAGTTTGTGACTACTTCAATGAAATACAGTACTAGTGGCAATATGTGGCTTCAAAGGCTAGATCATAAAAGGTCATTCAGTTCACCCCTCATTCTCTTGGAGCACTTTATCTGCAGATGATCCTTCTTGGAGCTGAGTCACCTACCATGTTGTGAGATGTTCAAGCCACAAAGAAAGGCTATTAATAAATGCTTCATAAGATCATACCTGCCCAATTATCAACATATGAGTGGAGAGTTAACCCTGGCTAACACCCTAAGCACCACAGAGTGATAAGAAACACTTATTGTGCCCCATCCCAATTTCTGATCCAACAGAATCAATGTATATAATACAATGGTCGCTCTTTTACAACACACCTAGTTTGAGGTAGCTTGTTATTCAGCAATTTTAAAACAAGAACAAAAGAATAACAAAGTTACTCTATAGATTCAATATAATCCCAATTAAAATCTCAGCAGGAGAAATGGAAAAGTGATTCTAAAATGCATATGGAATTACAATGGACCTGAACAGCCAAAATAATAACGTAAAGTAACAAAACTGGAAGACCCAACACTTCCTTATTTAAAAAGTGACCACAAGCTACGGTAATTAAAACTGTGGGACTGGCTTAAGGCATATAGGTGGGTAGGGCAGAACTGAGGGTTCAGAAATAAGCCTTCATGGGCAGTTGATTTTCATCAAGACCATTCACGGGGAAAGAATAGTCTTTTCAACAAATTGTATGGAACTTTTTGCAAAGGCCTGTTTGCAAAGTTGGCCTTTGGCTGACATCTAAAAACTTGGCTTTTTAAACTTTTTCTCCCTAAGTGATAAGGTTGTGCCTGCTATACTAGCCCAACTAGACTTTAAAAACAAACAGTGATTTATGGTGAACACCTGCTTCCCTTCTGGGGCACTAGAATTTTGAAGGACACAGGTTACCCACATGATCAGTACCCAGTAAAAATCCTAGACTTGAGTTTCAAACTGACTTCTTCAGGCAGAAGCATTGTGCCTTGTTACTGCTGGAACAGTATGCTCTGATGTGGCCCCTTCAGGGAGAGCACAGGCAGCCTGCAGGTGGATTCCTCCAGACTCTGTCCTATCTCTTTTCTCCTTACTGACCCAGCTGTGTATCATGGTTGGGTCCTAATAAAATCTTACATGCAAAGATGACCATGTGCCAAGTCCTGTAAGTTCTACTGACATACCAAATGTGTTAGTGGCTACCACAACCTGTATATTAGGAATTTATACTACAGTATTTCATACACGACTCAGTGATCTTCTTCACTTTTGGGGGGTGCGGGGAGGCTGGAACTCAAAACCAGGTCTTGCTCATACTAAGCACATGCTTTACCACTAGGCAATATTCCCAGTCCAGAGATTCCAGAGCCTTTCCTAACAACGAAATTACATGGGAGTGTATTTCAGACCTTACGCATGTCCCATTACACTGAAGTACACTAAAGCTTTCTCATGAGGTCAGAAAGGCACAGCTCACCCTCTGTAACAGCAGAACCTAATAGGATGGTAAAAGTTCTTAAATAAATGTATTTTATTGTACAAAGTGCCCCAAATACTCACACTTTTAGGTGAGCTTTCTCTTCCTATTAGTTCATTTACAATTTAAAACCACATTCTTATGTAACAAGACAATGGAAACAGAAATTTGAATGTAACAAAATACTAATAAGTAATAATATCTATCAGACTGTCATCAAAATATGATTGCATTACAAATTATATCTACAACCAAAAACATCAGCTGTTTATAAATTTTCAATTATCACTACTACTGAAAAAATTTCTGGTGAAAGTTTATGAGTTACAAAGCTTAAGATGAGCTAACAGACATCACTCAGTATGGAAAAAAAAGGAGGAATGACTATTTATGCACAACATTTTTTTACAAGTGAAATTAGGGAATCTCTAACTGCTGCCTCCTTTGTAAAATGCAATTGTCAGACAATAAAAAAAGATGCATGGTAAAAAATGAGAGTGCTGGGGCTGCTGCTCAGTGAGCAAGCAAGAAGCCCTAGGTTCAACCCCTAGTACACACACACACACACACACACACACACACACACACACAGAGAGAGAGAGAGAGAGAGAGACTTTTCACAAATGATTTGCATTACATTTAGAATTATTAAATTGTTAGTAATATTCTTTAAAGAAAAAAACTGAAAATTCTGTTACAATTGACAGTGATAGAACTGAATCTTTAAAAATTGATGTTTTATATTAACAACCACTTGGAAGATTTACACAAACTAAAAGACAAGCAGTATTGTCAGCAATAAGAATATACTGAAGCTCTGTATGTATGTTCATTTTTTCATGACTGGTCCTAAAAAGAATGAATAACAGGACTGAGGATTCTACTGCTCAAAATTTTAAAACTAATGGACTGGACTTTGAGTCCAAACTGACTACCAATAAATAAGACATGATATAAATAGCTTCATAACCAAGAATCTCTTTTAATCCAAGAGGAAAATTAATATTCCTAACCTCTACATCTTAGAAAATAAAGAACTGGGGCCAAGGGTATAGCTCAGTATATAGTACTTGCCAGGGGGAGGCCCTAAATTCCATCCCCTGCTGAAGTGTTAGACTCAGTGTCGTATTATTGTTCAATACTATTTCTTTAAAAAGTAACTCTTTTGAAGAATAACTCTGTTGTTCTTGTGTTCTGTGCTCATGATCTAGTTCTCCCAATTCCACAGTCCTGGTGATTGAATTCAGTGCCCATGCTTACTAGGCAAGTGCTTTACCACTTGAGCCATGCCCCCAGTTCTTTTGCTTTTAGTTTGTTTTTTAGACAAGGTTTTGACTATCTTTGCCTCTCCTCCCCAAACCATGATGCTCCTCCTGTCACTGCCTCCCGAGGACCTGGGATTTGTGTAGTATCTTTTGATCCTTTTAGTATGTAGTTGATTCACAACCAAAGTAAAATTTTAGTTTCCCCTATCAGTTTAGGGGATATAATGAATAATTATGTATAGTTTACACAGGCATGTTTATAAAGCTTCAGGAATCAAATCCTTTTGAGACAGTTGGGGGATTGTGGTGAGATTACCCTTGCAACTTCTATCACTGATTTATTGTATGTGGCCTTTAGAAATACCCAGAATCAAATGTGAATATGGTTTTCAGCTATGTCTGGAAACATACACGACCTCATGAGCCCTAAACCCTAAGACTACCCATTTTCAACAGTCCAAGGAGGTCCTTAAATTAATGCTTAATTTATGAAAATTCTCTTGGCTTTGGATTTACAATCTTAAAATGTAATGGATGTTTTTGTTAGCATTAAAGAAAAATGACATACCCAATATGGTGATCTATGATCGTCATGCCATCTTTGAAGTTATTAAGAGAACTTGGGCTCACTCTTTAGAAGTCTAGTTATACAACTCACATGTAGGCAAAGGAAAACAAATTAGGCAACTTTCAAAAACTTTAATAAACAAAAAAAGACACTTCCAAAAATAAATGCCATACAAGTGAAAGTTTTAAAAAAAGTGATATTCGAGAAACAAAACCCTTTACTCTCAAAACATACTAAACACTTAAAATCTAATGATGTTGAGTTACCAATTCAGAGCAAGTGTAACTTATTATATCATAGGTAGTAGTGTTTTCATGATATGGCATATGGTTGTTTCAAGACATCACTTATATCACTTCTTAAAGCCTGTATTTTCTCAAAAATCCACTTCACAGCTCATTTAACTATTTTACATTCACTCATAAAGACACATTTTCTAACAAGCTATTTGTGCTTTAATAGTAAAATGAGTCATAATAAAATAATCAAGTGACTTAAATGTTTTGTTAATGACTACACCATCACTGGTTCTTAAACACCTATACAACTACTGTAGTAATCAGAAGAGCTACAAGTCTTCATAAAAATGACACACTCAAGTTTGATATGCATGCTAAACATTAATGAGATGCATTTTCCCCAAGTTGAAACATTAGAACTTTCTTTTTTCTTTAAAATCTAGATAATAACCTGCTTTTTATATCAAATTTAGCTGTCAACTTAAGAACAGAAGGAAGCATCATTTTAGAATATTTCTGGTAACTTCTATACTAAAAAAAAGTGGAGGTTTTTCAAATTGTGATAACAGTGAAATTCTATTTTAGAAATTCTAGATTTTAAGATGTTCAGAAATATAATGTTAGTTACATCTAGAGGGGAATTTTTAATGAGCTAATCTAGTGACTCTCAGATCTACAGACTTTTCTCTAGGGTAGGTGACACTGCTTTACACTCATTTGGTACTTTTGCAAATAGTCCATCTTTGACATGATCCAAGACAAACCCTAACTTCTTCTAAATTCTAATCAATAACAAGCAACCAAGGCAAATCATCTTACACAAAATTTAGAAAAAGAGATGCTAACTAAAACAACAAAATTTATATGTAACAAATGATGATTTAAAATGCAAAATAACAGACCTCATTTTCATAATCTGGAAGTAATTTTCATGCAAAATTTTGTATGTTTTGACCCTTAAAGACAAGCAATTTTTGCTTTTTAAGTAATCAAGACAAATAGTAGAAAAAGCAGTTTATTTATATGGAAAAAGCTACAGTAAGATCTGTAAAAGGTGTCAATGTAATATCGCCTATACAGAAAATAATTCAAATGTGAATAGCAACAAAGAAAAGTTACACATCTTCCTACCGAGCAGTGCAATTAATTCACATTGCAATAAAGTTAAGTCAAGTATAACAAAATCAAAACAAGTGTTTCTCCATAATCAGTATACTGAGGATTACAGTGTAAAGATCATTTCAGGTTTAAGAAATCTGCGATCAATCTAAGTAATATCCTAATACAAGGGAAGTACAATTAATCCATCTAATTTTCAGCTGTTGGATCTTTCAATACTGTTCACAGGAAAAAAGTAATGAGTTGACATACATGTAAATAGAATATATTTAGTCTATACAGTAAAAAAATACAAATTATAAAGTGAGCTAACAAATAATGAAATCTGAATACAGATTTATAAAAGTGACAACATCTTAGACAACACATACAGTATTTCTTATGTAAAAACATCTAGTTTCAGCAAAAAATAATTTGGTTGCTTTTCAGCTGCATTGTAGATCTTGTAAGCTGAAGATGCAGATGTCCAAGTATCTTAAAAACCATAATAAATGTCTTTCTCAATGCATACAAAATGATAAATGCTCTCATCACAGTCTTAAGGTATTTTTGGAAGTTTGTTTTGTCTTGCTTCAGAAACACATTTAAAATGGATAAAATCAAAGGGTTTCATGGTACAATGAAACAGTAAACAGTGCTCAATTTACTGCTAATGTTGAAAAAAACCTAGATTACAGTACTCTGGTATATGTGAAAGTTTTTTTGATTTTACATTGCATATTTCTGAGTCCATTCTCTTGCGTGTCTGTTGTATCTGTAGGCATACAAAAGAGATACAAATTTAATTTTTAAAAGTACCTATATAGAACTGTATCTTCTACCTTCTCATGCTTATTGCAATAATCATATATATGCCACTTACTGGGTCATTGTGACATAGACTCATTCATGAATATAACAAATGATTTTTAACTCACGGGTTTCTCTGCACCCTATGTGAAAATGTGTTTATAATTTAAAAACAAAACTCAGAATAATTTCTAATAGAAATCTATAAACACCAACTCTGAATATAAATGAACCGACAGTACTAGCAGAATGAAGTAGCTTGAAAATAAGGTCAGGTGGGCATGGAGATAACTTCTCTTCCCAGAAGAAGACAAGAGAACACAATAGTCAATAATTTCCAATGATTTAATTCTTTCATTTAATGCCTAGAATTGTGTAGTTATTATACAAATACAGAACATGTACCATTAAGCAATAAGTGGAAAGGAGTAAATTTTTTTGTAAAAAGACTAACAGAGTTTAAACAGAAAGTTTTACTTCATTGGAAAAAGACAAACAATATAAACATAACTAAAAGCACTTCAAATGTACTGATAATACTCATGTTTTGCAGACTATATACAAATATACCCAAACACAGACTAATATAAGTAAAGACTTACTTTTCTTTGTCTGATTTATAGATTTGTGCAATATCTGGTACTAAGGGGTCATCTGGGTTAGGATCACAAAGTAGAGAACATATGGACAATAAAACTAGATTTAAAAGAGAACATTTTATTAGACAATGGTCTTTCTGCTTTAGACGAGTTACATATGTAAGTTTACTGAATACAGCTATTGAACTTATAAAGAAAACAAAAGATACAATGAACACATTAGTAGCCTGGGATGCAGCTCAGTGGTAGAGTACTTGCCTAGCATGCACAAGGCCTAGGATTTAATCCCTAACACCACAAAATAAATGAATAAATAAATAAATACATCATTTATCAAATCACATTTTATACTGTGATTTTTAATGAAAATATCATTAAATTATAAAATGCCCATATAATGTGTATGTGTATACAGATGTATATGAAATAATTATTCCCTTTGAATTTCTACTTATTTAAAAAATGTGAATCTCCAACCTTTCAACTCAAGAGTGCTCTACAAAGCAATCAAATTATAGCTAGCAGTCCAAACGTTTCAGACATTGTGTGCATGTGCCCATTCACTTTGGCTTAGTAATACATGCTGTTTACAAAGAAGGAAGATTTATATGCTTTTTTCCAATAAGTATTTTATCTCATATACCTTATTTTTATGTTTAAAAACAACATGGACAGCTATCTTTACATTATTTGTATACTTGAGAAGTACTTGTTGCTAAATTATGTCATAACACTTTTGCAAATAGCTGCATTTAAAAAAAAAGTCTAAACCGGGCATAGTTGTTACATGTCTATAATTCCAGCACTAGAAACCTGAGGCAGGAGGCTCACCAGTTCAAGGCCAGCCAGGGATACATAATGAATTTAAGATCAGGTGGAACTATTGAAAAAAAAAAAAAATCACTCACACACATACACACACACACACACACACACACACACAGAGCGGGGGGAACCCATGAAGAAAGAAAGAAAAAAACAAAAAACCCATCCATCTAAGTCTCTGTAGTAGGAGGAAACAAGGACTCTGGTCCTTACTTGTCTACTTCACATGCATGTGACCACTTCTGAGGGACTGCACTATTTTTGGGTTGACTTCCCATTTCTACCCTCACCTCTGGTACTGTTCCTATCTTTTCCTTTTTCCAGTCTAAAGGTGAATTTAGACACAGCTTACTCGTAAATGACAGGGAAAGGGGGATGCTAAGGACTACGGAAAAAAACCAATATTTTATTTATCTTTCTCATATCCCTACCTAATGAAACTTCAAGCCTTATATACTAAGCAAACTGAATAGATTCTCTGGGCTGACTTATGTCTCCAGAATGCTTCCAACTAAATGCATGATAAAAAGCAAAATAGGACATTTAAAATACAGAAAAGTAAAAAATGTACAAATGAGTGAAGTCTGAGCTACCTCATAAAATAAACACAGGTGAAATGCTGCCAAAAGCCATTTGCCCTGATTTTTCCTATCATGTATACAAACCAAATGCTTTAAGATGAGGAATACAAGATAACATTTAAGAGCTACTCCAGTGATCGCTCCGTGCCAAGTGCATGGTGACCCTATTTTACATATAAGGAAACTGAGGCTGTTTAAGTTCTCAAAGGACAGTTTCCAGAAGTCAACAATATTAATTCTTTTTTACAAAAAACTACAAATGTCAGAAGATAAGCATTTGGCATCTGGCAATCTGCCATTGCTTTTAGATGATAAAGACTTAGCTACTTATACCAAATGACATTCATTCTGTGACAACATTCTAGTGTATTAATTTGAATAACCATTTGACACAGTAGCCTTCCTTTACTCCAAGCATGAGAGGTTCACTATGTGAAGGATTTTTAAAAAGGATAGTAGAATCTACATGAACATTTCAGAAGAGCATTTTAGGTTAGAAAAATTACCAGTCATAAATAATTGATCTGAAGGCCCTTAATTTACTTAATACTTGAAACAGTTATGGTTTTGGACCCTACTTCCTATAAACCGTATTTCTTTTAAAAACAAGCTATATATTCAAGTGGCATTTATTTTTCAAAATTAAGAAATAACCATGGATTCTTCCTGTGAATCATTCAATTTCCTTTAATTTTATAAAAAGGGAAAATGTGGTAGTTACTTTGGGGGCAGAGCTGGTAACTCAAATAATACCAACTGTCACATTCTCTTCTGTTGGAAAAACAAGATAAAAATCAAGAGTTCTGGCATAGTAAATAGTACTGGCTAATGGAACAAACTTGGCTTCAGAGACCTATTTACATAGCTGCAAATGTAGTAAAAAAATAAAAGTTGAGAATCGGCATGGGTTGTATGTCAGTCATAATGATAGCACTGATTATTCAAAATTTAGACTAACATGTTATCTGTACTGCACTATTCTAAAGTGTGAAATATGTCTTGTTTTATCATCCAAATCGGTTACTTTTTCTTGGGTTCACCAAGTAAAACTACTAGTTTTACTTGATATTGTCAACAATTCTATTTAATGACTGGGACAACTAGTCCCAAAAATTTTTCACTACTGTCTCTTATTCTGTATTTCCTAGTTTTAAAAAGATAAAAATCCAAGCTAAAAGGGTAAATATCAGTAAGCTTATCCTCATATTTCTAGCTCTAATATTTTAAATTTCTTACTTCACTATTTAGATTTACCTACCTATACCCACCCCCGCCACACACACAAAATTTAACTGCTAAAAAGCCATAGTAATATAAGATCTGTAAGAACAAAGTGAAATTCAAACAGAAGAAAACATAGTGAATTATTTTGTTTTGTTTAAAAAAAAAAACAAAAAAACTTTGGTCTCTAGACACTTGAGCTATTTTTTTTTTCTGTATCACTGCTATCAAATGTTTTGAATTTTTTAAATGAAATTACCTTTTGATACAGTCAAGGCTGGTGACCACTGAGACCTCAGGATGTCAAGACAAATACTTCCATTACTGTTTATATTTGGATGGTAAATTTTTGTAGTGAAAGCAATCTAAGTACAAAACAAAACAACAACAAAAAAAATGTGACAATGCATGAAGTTTAAACAAAACAGAAGCAATCTGCTCTAGGATAAACACCTCCAATTTTACAGAGGAGAGATGCATTCCATGCAAGTTGAATAAGCATCTACTTTGGTTACATGGTTCTAGCTATTGGGAATTGGAAAGCAAATCACTCAGTTCCCTTCATCTTCCCCTCAAAAGATTTGAGAAATATTTTAGAAAGCATAACAAGTTGTAGTAGCTAGCATGACTAGTTGAGTAGCACCAGGAGTAATTAAATCTGGCTTTCATCATACCTCAAAGTAATCCTCTTCTTAATTTGGCTATCAGTAATACATGGAAGTGCCACTTGGATCTACAAACTCTGCTTCAGGGCAAAGTTGAGAGGACTCAGCCTCTTACCTATCCTAAGAAACCCACCAGACTCCTAATCTTCCGCAATAGTTGCTATGATGTCATGTCATATATGATTTTAATCAGGCGTTTTTTAAAATCTTAACTATTTTCTGAGTGATAGATCTGTTCATTTTTTTCCCTTCTTGATAATCTCCATTATTTCTTTTCTCTTTAGATTTTATCTAAATTAAATCTAACAAGACCATGTTTTTATGCCCCTGTGCCATTAAACAAAGTAACTGTGCCATATTTACTGTTGTATTCCCCATTGTAGTAAATCATGGTAGGTGCTCAATAAATGTTTACTGAATATTTAAAAAAGTAAAAATGGGTCAGCTTTGGAAAGACAATCCCATGAATAGAAAAGTCTGGTTCTTGACCATAAAAACTCCCCAAACTACATTATTTAATAAGGAGGAAAAGTAAGCTAAGGAACCTAATTTGTAGCCCTGCAGACACTGCCTCTTGTTTTACAGACATCATACAGCACTTGAGCCAGAAAGCACATTGCAGATTCAGTGGTTTTTTGCAAGACAGTTTGAGCATGCTAACCTACCCAAGGTCCTTGACATCATGAAATCATCTCTGGAAAAAGAGTAAAATCCCTGACATGGGAGTCACATCAATCATAGGAATAAAAATACCTTTGGTGGTTTAAAAGGATAGTCTGTCGGAAAATGTACAGTGAGAAAGAAGACTCCACCTTGATATGCGCTATCAGGCTGAAATTACAAAACAGTATGCATCAATGCTTGATTATTGTATTTATTTAATAACTTCAAATGATTTCCCCAAATATTATCAGCTTGAAAAAAATCGTATTTCAAATGTCTTCATCAAACATTACCAGTTTGCAAAAACTGCAATCATTTGTGTCATAAGGTTCAAATAGTTTAACTTGAGAACCAGCTTCCCTTTGCAGGTACAAAGGGGAATTTTTCAACAATCATGCCCCCATGATAAGTTTAATAAAACAAAAAACAGACATAGTGGTGTGGTTTGCCCAAACAAATCTATGTATAAGTACAAACTTTCAGAGATCAGTATACACACGAAGACTGCTGTGAGAAAAGTTAACTTTCTGCAGCAGTAGGCAATATTTTCAAAGAGGGTTGGTTAGGGGTAGTATTTACCTTTCTATTTATAAAACTTACATTCTGATATTCACTGAAGGGCAACCAGAAGAGACCCAAGTTATGAAAAAAAAAAAAAAAGCCCAAGTGATGCTGTTACACAATTTATCCCTGAAATCTTCATTTGTTTATAAAATCTTCAGTTTATAAAATAATGCAGAAATTTTTGAAAGGCCAAAAGAAAACTAAATAAATTCAATATTAGTGGGACATCAATTTTACAAGAGAAGTTTAAATTTGGTCACTTTTTAAAATGACCATAAAAAAAAAGATTTAAAAAAAAAACAAAAATGATAGCAAAATATACCTAAAATTCTATTTTAATTCTTGTATATTTAATTAAATATATCACATTACATTAATATTTTGATAATAAAAGGAAGAGTGTAGTTACTTCTTTAGTTTCTGCATAAATATTACAGGATTATATTGCATGATTATTTTTACAGTGTATATTATTTCATTTTAGTTCATCAACAATTATAAAGAATGTAAGAGGACCTAAGCAAATTACAAAGATACATACGGTCTGCTTGGATATTCAAATGATGCTACTGAGTACTGCAGAGAATATGTTTACATTACTGAAATAGGGGAGGCAGGAGCAACATAACTGTAAATCACTTGCTACGTGATTCATCTAAGAAATACTTGTGGAGAACTACCATTCAAATGGTAAGGTGGGCCTTTAAGTGACAGTACTTGATGGTTCTTAGTAAATAATGAAAAACAAAAACAAGTAGACTGTTATTAAAAGTAGTTATATAAACATGTTGCACAACTTAATATAACAATTTAGAAAGATTCCCAAAAAAACTTTCTTTGAAATTCAGTACATTTTTTTGTTTTTAAAGTAAACACAAGGAAATATGATTAAAAAACAACTTTCTACATAAAGTTCCTTTGGGGGAAGGGAGAGAGCAGGATGTTCATGAAAACATGTTACTGATGTACTCTAACCCAGAAAGCAGATTTGAGCAGAACACCCACTCTGCTGCAATCAGAAAACAAAAAGCCTTAGAAAGAAATGTTAACAAATTTAACATATTAAGAGGAGTTAGTTACAAAACAGTGGGTAATTTTGAGTCTGAGACAATGCAACAAAATTAAAAGCAGGAAACTTAAAAGGTGGCAAAGTCGGACCCATTACAATATGGATCAACTCTCTTTTGCAGACAAGAACAGTGATGAAAAGTAGTACAAACTAGTGCTTGCAACCTGTAGGAATCCCATTATTGGGTTAGACTTATTTCTAACTTATAAAAACTGTAGATATGAAAATGACTATACTTATGAACAACTATGTCTTTAAAAAATAAAGCAAGCAAACACAACGACTGGCTGCAAATTGTGGGTGATCCATTACTATCTGTAATGATGAGGATTTGGCAAAGGAAAACATCACAGTGATCCTTCTAAGTATTTACCACCAATGTCAATGCTTTAGAAAATCATCATAAACCCTTAATCACATTTTGTTGCCTGGGTGATTCAAAGTGTAAGACTATTCAACCTTACTCACAAACATCAGCTCAAAGGTGAACAGACAAGAGTGGAGAATGGACAAGGGGATTAACTTCACACGTGTGAATCATACTTACAGGTCCCATAATAGTTGCTTGCCAGTGGAACACTGAAACAAACAAAGGAGTTTTGGAGTCATTTACAAATGTTATAACCTGTATTTTCAATGGCAGCAAAATCCTCATAATACAGCAAAGCTTACAGTCATCTCCCACAGGTCCAGCTGAACAGTGAGCAGGTGGATCACGTTGTAGATCACTTAATTCCTGAAAGAAAGCAAAAATACTTAAAAGTTAACTCTTTCTTTTTTAAGGAAACAGGCATAAGAATCCATTAAGATACAATCTACTAGCTTCACTTTAAAATTATTTTAGGAAGCTCTATTCAAAATAAGAAAACAAAACGTACTCTGTCATTGATTGGTAGAAGAATATGAAGAAGATACTAAATATCTGTACGAGATCCCGCTAATCCTTGAAATATTCAGCAGATTAAAATATGGTCTTTCTTTAACATCCATAAGACAAAAATATTAAATTAGCTTCTCCTGAAAGCAAAGTAATTTATATTGTATGCTAGGCAGATAATATATTAAAAACAAAACAAACAAAAAACCAAAATGGGTCTGGCTAAGGGTATAGTTCATGCATGAGGCCCAGGGTTTTACTCTCCAATACCAAACAACCACTTCCAACTTCCGATAGGTCATGATTTAAGAGGAAGAGTGAAGGCCTGGAAAGATGGGTATTTAAGGAACTACTTGAAAGATAACTAGAAAGGAGGAGAACAACTGGGCCATGTTTTGAAAACTAGGCATTGATTCATATACTTTTTCCTGCTCTTATGGCGCAAAAGAAAGATCATAGAGAGGACACAGCTTTTGGGTTGGTCAGTTCTGGCTCAGAATTCCAGTTCTAAAAAACTAGTTCTGCCTACAGGTTGGAGGAAGTCACTTAACTTCCTTAGCCTCAGTTGGAAAGGAACTGATCATCTCCAAATAAGAAAGGTAGAAATGCAATATAAAATTGTAACTGGGGCCAAGGATGTAGTTCAGTAGATTACTTGCCTGGCATGCACAAACACTAGGTTTGATCACCACACTACAAAAAGAAAAAAAGAAAAAAAGACTATAACTAAAGAATAGAATTTAGTTTGGAAGATCAAAGAATGTTTCGGAGGAAGTGACATTTAAATTGAACTCCAAAGGATGAGTGGGAGTTAGTTTTGGGGGAAATGAGTGACACTGGGAGGTAGAGTGGCACAAGATGGATTTGGAAAGGTATGGAGAACAGTACACATCCTATTTAAGGATGTGGGGTGTGATACCAAATGTGCCTAAGACGGATTCTAAAAAGTGCCATGCTCTGATTTAAACGATGGTTCTGATCTTAAAGGATGGGAAAAAAGAACAAGCTACAAAATTACTTTACTACAGGTAAGATAAATGAGGGCTTTGATTGGAGAGGTAGCAATGAGACAAAAGGCAGTGGACTTGAGATATTTTGAAGGGCAGACCTATCACAGGATCTGGTGATGAGTTGCACATAGAGTAAGGAGAGGTCACAGATATGTATAAAGATTAGTGGCAGCTAACATTTACTCAATGTCTTTGTCATTCCAACAAGTTCCAACAAGTTGAGTAAAGGAGACCCAACTTACTGTATGACTACATAAATAGTATCAGATAAAAATGAGGTTCAAACCCAGGGAGCCCACCTTCTTACCTTTTAGCTATTCAGATATACAAATAAAAATTTCATTTACTGAGATAGGGAATGCTAGAAGGCAAGCTGATTTGGAAACTAGAAATGCTGAATCTGTTTCTTGTGATATTAAGGGAAAAATTAGTTCAACATCCAAGGATGGGGCAAGGCTATAAGTCAGAAAATTATTGCATATGATTGGTATTTAAAACCATGGGAATAGTATAACACTTTTGTGGGAAGACATATAAATAAATACTGCACTTCATCAAATCTAAGATGTCATCAACTATAAATTGCACCCTTACTTTATGTACCAACAATTAAAGATAAATGCTGCCAATTTGTTTTAAGACACCATTAATTTTATGTCCAGACTTTAGAAATATTAAAATGTGAAAGCTCTGCACCTGAGAATCACTGCGACAGTAATTACAGCAGGAAGTTCAGTGCTCTAACAGAGGCAAACATGGAAGAGGCTGTGATGGGGAAAGGCTTTCCTAAGAAAGAGATATGAGAGCAAAATAAGGAGCCCAGCGCAAGCTCAGATGTCCTCCTTAAGTTACTTCAATATTGTTTTTCATGTATTTCTGTACTTGCATTTTTGTCTTGCTCCTCTTTTGTTGATAACTGGTGTTGTATTTCTATTTCCTAGCAAAGAATTAACTAATAAAGTTACTGACTTCTTTGGTCTATATACAGCTAAAGCAATAAGAGAATTCAGTCTTTGATTTAGCTACAGTGGTTAAAAGCAAGGTTTTGAAGCTCAAGTTTGGGTGCCACCACTCATCACATGATTTTGGGAAAATTTTTTTCACTCCACACCTCAGTTTTCTTTCATGTAAGGTGACACTACTACCTTTACCCATAGGTTTCTATGACAATCAAGTGGAATGCTCAGGTCAAGTGTGTAACATAGTCTCTGGCACATAGTAAGCATTCAAATAAGTGTTAGATAATATAGAATTAATAACAACCATCCGCTTGTCTAGGAATACAATACAATGATTTAAGTAGTTTAAAAGAGTGGGAGAGAAATAGTTCCTAAGTCATAACCCAATTTTGAAATGACTGTGCCTTGTAACGGTTTTCTAATTTGGGCTTTTGGGAGATTGCTTCTGAAATTATTCATATTGAGTTCTCTAAAAATTAATATAAATGGCAGCTCTTTACCCTTATTTTAAGCAAAATACTAATCAGAAAATGACAGTCCCTGATTGGGGTTTAAAAAACCTGTTAATGATTTGCATGAATATATTTTACATAGAAATAATGTGTACATGAATAAATTGTACATATACATAAATACATACAAATTAATTTGGTTTATTAACAAGACAAGCCAAAACTGTATTTTATTTAGAATAGCCTTGAACCATATTTAAATTTCAAATGTCAGGCTGTTCTTCAAATCTCTTTAAAGTATTATATAAAAATAAAAATTACCTTGTTCTTGTTATTTTTTTTGTCCTGAATGTACCTTCTCTTTAAACTAAGGTAAAGTTGAGAAAGAGAGAGAAAAAAACCCCACAAGTTAACTATTGCAAAGGGAAGGTTCTTGTCTATTTAAAGTTCACCCATTATAGAAAAGAGAGCGAAATATCAAATATTCCTAATATTCACCTTGATTGGTATTTATTAATAATTACAGTAATGCTCTGGAGATGAGACCTACATATCCTAGACATTTTAGGAGAGTCTAGATTTCTAATGTTCTATCTCCTTGCCAATCCTGGTGTCTGGATATATGCCATTATGTTGTCTGGAAATGTGCGAATAAAGCTTTGGTGCATATGTGTAGACAGAATGACCAGCAAAAACCAAAAAATGCAATGTATGTATACCTCCCCCATCTACAAAAATATAGATCTTAAAATTTAAAGATAAAAATAAAGGTAATTTAGAAAATTCTGAGAAACTAACAAAACTTACAACCAAACCAAAACCCTTTCTACTGCTGTCCTTTCAGGATGCAGTGTATTTTTAGATGACACAGGAAATTCAGGATCACTTCCTCTGCCTTATTATACAATGTGTGCTTTCTCTGCTGTACCTGGCATTCTTACTTATCTACTTCTAGCATCACACCACATATTTGGTATTAAAAAAATAAATAAGTAATTCTTTAGTTATTCCAAAAAGATATGCTAGGATTATCAGTCTCTTCCCTTACTTCTCTCTCCTATTTTCTCTATAAGAAATGACACTAATTATACAACTTGCTTTAAGCACTTAGCATTCTCATAGGACCCAAGCTTAACTCTACATTCCTCACTAATATAAGTCTCACTAAAGAACAATTCATAATCCCAGAATTCCACTTCTTGAGCACTTCTGATTCTACTACTACCCTTAAATCTAGGATGCACCCTACAGACAGCCTTCTAGTAATGGTTTCATGAGCCCCTCAGCTTTCTGTCTAGAACTCTTCATGGCCATGCTTTATATCATGTTGAACTAAGATTTCAAAGACAAAACATTTAAAGTCATGTGTTTTAAAAAAGCAAAACAAGCCAAACAGTGATTTGTAGGAAAGAAATAGTGCAATGTATACATCCACAAGACTGTTACCCAAATCAAACCATTGTTAACAGATTAGATTACTTCCATTCACAGCTTTGCTGGGAAATAAGCATGACACTGTTGGAAGGAGTCTAAATTCAGATACCAGGTTTTGAAGGGCAATTTGGTAAAAACTGTGAAAGCATGTGGTCATTGATCTAGTAATTCTGCCTCAGAAATAACTGCAAATAGTCAAGGACACATATATAAGGATGTTTAGTGCACAATCTTGCATTTCAATTCTTTTTTTGGCAGTAGTGGAGTTTGAACTCAGAGCCTTGTGCTTGCTAGGCAGGTGCTCTACCACTTGAGCCATCCCCCTGTCCCCCAGCCCCAGCATCTTATATAAGTAGGAAAAACTGAGATTAACCTAATGGTATATCAATACCTAGTGGTGTATTAATAAGAGAACAGTTTTATAAAATTATAGAGCCATGTTATGAAATATTGGGCAACCATTAAAAAGGAGACAGATCTGTCTTTGTTGACACTGAAGATACAGAGTAAATATAATATTGTGTTTGAGTGAAAAGTACAAGTTTAGGACAGTATGCCCATTAGAGCTACAATACATACATCAACTGTAGATGCATAAAAAACAAATACATAATAAGATATACAGAAAACTGTTAACAGTAGTTATCTCTGAGAGTAACTTTTTGGGGGTTTTGTTTTTTGTTGTTTTTATTGTTTGAGACACAGGGTCTTGCCATGTAGCCCAGGCTGGCCTTGAACTAGAGCTCCTCCAGCTTCAGTCTCCTGAGTGCTGGGATTACAGGTGTGTACACTATATCCTGTCTCATTACTTTTACTTTATGCCTACATTGTTTCAACTTTCAGAAGATTTTGTAACTTTTTAAATTAAAAAAAAAAGACTTTTGTTCAGGTTCTTAAGCTTTTCTTAAAGTGCATGTTGGATCCTGGAATAGGAACACAACATCAGTGGAAAACCTGGTAAAATCTGATTTAGGTCTGTAGTTTAGTTAACAGTACTGTACCAA